CACAGACTTGTTATTTATAATCATCTGCCATTATCTTTTCAACGTTTCGCTTGATGGCCTAATGATTCCCATTATTATTTTCATCGTTGGCACACATGAAATGCACCATTTTACTGTAAAACGTTTTCTGCAAGGTACTCAACATATTAAAAGTATATACTTCATTAAATGGAACGTCATGCACTATCATGCTCTTATCAAAAGAAGCATAAATAACAAAAAAAGCATTTTTTAAATTTAAAACTGCCATTCCAAGTTGAATTTGAGCATAACGGGCGTGCTTTTCCTTTAAACTAATATTTTCGTTTTCGATCACCAGCCCTTTCTTAAACTCAAATTGTATGGCTTCCATCACAGGTTTTGACTTGCCTTTGAAAGGACACTTAATTTCTAATAGTTTCGTAGGAATGTTTTGTTCAAAAATTACTCCATCGGGCGAATAAGCGAGCCATGGATTTTGACTCGATATGACTAGACCGACTTGAATTATTTCTAAATTGAAGGCAGTCTTGAATGCCATAACAGCTTCACTTCCGTACTCGGTGTAAACACTTTTGAAGGTTTTCGGATTAAAATACTGGTCGCATTTTTTGTCCCAGTCCGCATTAATCCTTCTTGAAAACGTATACAGTCCGTAGCATCTGGAGCCTGTAATACGATATCTCCGCTGCTTCTGCCATTCGGAATATGATTCTTTACTTGTTTGGCATATCGTTGGAAAATCGTCATTCAAACTTCGAATTGTTTCTTCGCAACAGCTTTGCTCGATTGGCACAGAAACATCTTTGATCGTCTCCATGAAATCACTCCGTTGATACGTAAACAGGGCTTTAACTGCTTCGTCTACATTGTCATCGATATTCGTATCACCAATGTCGTTCTGTACCGAGTTAAATATCACAGGTTCGTGTCTTCCAAACCTACAACACAGAATTTAATTACAGAAATGCACACAATCAAAAGGAAAATCACGGTAACAGAGAAAAGTACATACAAAAATTTTAATATCAACTTGAATTGACAAAATAGTAACTTACACATGCTTTGAAAAAGCAGAATTTGGTAATTTTTTCAGGATGGCAGATTTTATTGCTATTCCGACGTCTTCGCTCAAGTGATGGTTGTTTTGCGTGGATTGAAAACATTCGTGATCCTCTAAAGGCCGAGCGACATAATTTTGAATCGTGTCTTTGTACTTCTGTTTCCACTGGCATTTTATGTCAGTACAAGACAGTGCTGCAATTTCATTCCTAAAAAAAAACAGAAACTAGAGAACTTAGAAGACATTTGATTTTTAGCAAATTTGGAGGTTATGAACGTACCTGGAACAGAACAGCAGTGTGGCCATAATATGTTTGCACTTTTCACCAAGGCCAGCCTTACATGAACACGTAATCGATTTGATTTCTCCATTTTTTCCCAAAATTCCCTGTATTTCGTGAGGAGATCCACGCACATTTGACGTTTGGATACACGACGCCGATATTTCCAAAACGTCAGTATGCTCTTTGACGATACCACAATTCAATAAATGTTTCGCAGCTACCAGTCGTTCACCCTCTCGAAAATTGCGATTACTGGGCGTTGAACCGGACCATTCACAAATATCATTAATTGTTAAGACTATCATTATCTACCACTAATATTGATATTTAACTATTTTACGGTATTTCATCACGGTTTGACTAGGCAAATGCACCCCCGTCGGCGCCATATTGAATAGGCCACGCCTCCATGTCAGATCCCAATAAGTTGGAGGTTACTTCCCCAGACGGCGGACTGAATATTATGTTGAATAAAGATTTGATTGTTTGTTTGTATTGACTAGGCTCCGAAACTACTGGACCGATTTGTAAAATTCTTTCACATTTAGCATCCTACATTATCTGTGATGAACACAGGTTATAGAGTATTTTCAAAAAAGTTAGGGTTCCGTATGAAACCTTAGATAATGTAATCCAACGTGTAAAAAAAATAACAAAATATTACCTTATATCGCGTACGCTGCGGAAATTATAGAAAATAGAGCATAGCGTTGAACTAAAGTTTTATAGAGGACATCAACATCTAAAAAATAGTTCGCGATAATCGAAATCAAGCCAGTATTTTCTGAGATTAGCGCGTTCAATCAATACAAATACGAGTATTGTAAATAAAACAAACAAACTCTCCAGTTTTATAATATTAGTAATTATATTTTATTTTCCAGGAAGGTTTATAATTATATGAAGAAAGTCATAATACAAGACTGAAAATAAAAAGTGTAGACTATACGACATCTCTACACCGAAGCGAAGCGAGGGCAGGCCACTACTATTAATAAAATCACGTTTCTTGGAATTATTAAGAAACTGTTTGACTTTTTATGGTCACTAACATTATAGTAATATAAGTTATTTACAGGATTGTTACCATGTACCTTGTTTTTAGCGAGTTTCCGATATTTCGGCACTGTTGCATGATCACGGAGTAACTGAAGTAATTGCGGGTAGGCTGTTATTGGCAGACATATCGGTCTACCCTCCGACGAAGTCTTTTATTGCGTTCGATACCCGTACCACTGTTCACATTCTCACTATTCACTCGAAACTGTTCTCGACACACAACACTTACAGTATCGGATCACGACACGACACTTTTATGATTATTTCAGGTTTTACAAATACGCAACAGTGCCGAAATATCGGAAACTCGCTAAAAACAAGGTACATGGTAACAATCCCGTAAATAACTTATATTACTATAAACTGTTTGATGTCATTATAATTACACAAATACCAGAATTTGAAAATAGGTCATGATATTGAGCTAATAATATTATTATTCACATTTTTTTCGTATTGTATTATGAACAGTGGCCCAATCTTTCTTTTCTATCGCGAATTCCAACAGCAGAGGTATATTAATAGGCTGATGATGGTTGTGTGGGGTTTTATGTCACGCTGTAAGAAATATATTTTGGTCGCAAAAATGGTTCAAGTCTCAGAACAATAACTAAATTGTTTTAAGGGTCGAGTAAGACACGAACAAAACTCCATTTTCGTAATGAACAAAACGTCAACGTCACGTCGGTCGGTCGCTGAAATATTAATGGCGCACACTTTAGTCCGTATTTTATTGTTTTTCTTTGTTATTTGTTTCACAGAACACGAAACCGATTTTGTTAGTGGGATATTTGGAACACTATTCATGTTTAACCAATAGACATGGCAAATAAATATTTATCTTCTCTTTATCACTTATTTGACCAACTTACAAAAAAAGAAATAATGTTTCAATATAAGGTATATGACAGTATTAAAAATAAAGTGCCAATTGTTAGCATCTGTGTTTAGAATGAAGAATGGCAGGGGTTTTTACTATTTTTAGAAAAAAAAAATATTCATTATTTTACTAAAAACCGAAAAGTTTTCTTATCTATTGTTACGTGAGCCAAAACGCTTGGGATTGGCGGAGCCTAAAATGTCGTCACACGCTAGTAAACATCCGGTTAAAGTGACATTATATTGTATCGTTTGACGTTTTAATAACACTCGTGTGACGTCACACACTAGTAAGACGCCATATTGTCCATAGAAACGTTTTCGCGGCAACTTAAAAATGGAGTTTTTGATTTGGTTATTTTTACTTAAATACACAACAGAATGATGAATATCCACTCTTTTTACGGACAATTTTTACGGACTCCATAAACATTAGTCAAAAACGTGAGATCGATTTCTAAAACTTGTCAAATACCCTTTTAGAGTATTTATACTCTATGTTCGAATATAGTATAGAATACACTATATTAAAGAAAAGTCATACCATTTTGTATTGATTACGTTACTACTAAAATATTACAGACAAGTAAATAACCAGGGTTCAAACCTTTGCTGCAGCAGGAGACAAGATCTTACTTTTCTTCATTTATTTTAACAAAGCTGTTATATTCTCTACAAATTATACTCTAAGACTTTGTCCATTTTTATTTAACACTACAGAAATATAACAGAGGTAGTGGGGAGACGGGGAGATAGAAAACTAGGGAGAGGAAGTGTTTACCCCTCGTTTGCATACGACAACAGAACTTGGGCTAGAAATTCCACAAGTCGGCCGGCAAAGTTGAAAACTTAGTTCGTTCCCGCTTCTCCTAATATTAGGTTTTCCTTTTAAACGCGAACGAATAAAAATTATATCTTGTAGGGCTTTTAACCTAACAAGTTACGGAGTGTTTTTGTTTATTATTATTGTCGTGTACCTTGATTGTTCTGGGAAATTCATGTATTGCTTGTAGATTTCTGAGAACTTGTGTAGTTTTGGTAGTTCTAGCAGAATATTATTATTATAGAATTACTTTGTTGTCAGTCCGTCCATATGTCAAGACCCTTTTTCTCAGGAAAGCGTGGAGGTCGTCGATCTTCTGTCCCTTGGAGATGTGAAGAAATCATACTTCTAAGCCAACGCAATCGGAAGATACAGCCGTTTATGCCGCTCCGCAAATTTTCGAAACTCGTAAGGTAATCAAAACCTACAGGGTACTTCCCGTGAACTCAGAATCTTGATATTTGGTACAAAGCAACGTCTTATAGCACAGATAAAGGAAAAATTGCGAAAACCGTACGTTTTTAGTAACATCACATTTTTTTTTATAATTATTATATACCTACAGGTTTGTACGGAACCCTCGGTATGCGAGTCCGACTCGCACTTGGCCGGTTTTTTGTTCTGTTCTAACCACATGAGTAAAGAAACGTACAATCCGTAGTCTTCACGTAGAATTAGGTGGACTATATGCTAAATTAGGTTCATTGTAACGTAATTACTTCATTTAAACTAATTTGTAATTGAAAGCTTTCTTCACAGTATACAATATTGCCGATCACCTTTATAAAAAAATAGTTGGTATACCTACATCCTTGTTCACACCTCAGTATAGATCCGTGACTTTAGTAAGAGATAGTTTTTCAAACCTTATGCATGATTTGAAACTTAATTAAAGAAGGTTTAGTAATACTTACCCCCTTCCCGCGTATCTTGAAACAGGGGTATGGAGAAAGGTCCCATGCCGGCACTGTTGAATGCTGCTATTGACACAGCGTACCTATTAAACGAAATAATTACAATGAATATGTTTTTTGCACCAATATTTTAACTAATACATTAGTTATGATACACGACAATACTTTTCAACACGTTTGCTCAAAAAAATGCATTTACGGAGGTTATATACATTGTTCGAAAGTTCAAAATTACGGGCGATGCAGCGGAGCGTGTGGTAAAACGTTTTACTGTACGTCTGTTTTTCATGAAAATTATTCAGAAAAAGTTAACTTCAATACTGAAATTAATTTGAAACTATTTGACGGCATTATACAAATAAGATATAAGTACTGTTTTCTTGCAAATGTGTTGAAAAATGTTGTATGACATTCGTGTGGAATTGGTATTTACAAATCGAGGCGAATGTAACTTACCATAAGTTACATTCGCCTACTCGTTTGCAGTAACCAATTTACCGCAGTAATATCATAAATAACTAATTAAGGTTTTTAATGGCGCGAGGTAATACTGCTTAAATTTATCGGCACGCAAAAAATGGTAAGTACAGAGCCGCAGTGCACCTTAGATACTAATGGAACGTGGCCCGTCAAAACGCCGTGATGGTCAAGGCAGCTTATAAAATATCTACCTAAAATACCGCTGGAGGTTTACTCTATTTCAACAAAAAACGAAATTTCGATCGAAATTTCGCACGTTCCTTACTGTTTCTTTTTCATTTCGAAAATTCGTTTGGTCGCAAATAGCTTGAAAATTAAATTCCCCAAGCCTAGCCTTTACTCTAATTCACAAAACTTGAATTTGACATATTGACATAATTATACGAAATTTTAACCACACATTGAAGAAATGAAAAGTGTTACCTTTTCATTTTCGTTTTCGGGTTTTTGTTTTATTTTAGCCTAAAATGCTTGCAAGAGTATTTGTAATCAAGGCTGTTTAGCTCGAGGAACATTTTTGGCGTGTAAAATTAATTTATAATTTATTGTAATTCCAATACTTCAAATTATTAAACGACAAATTTAGGTTGGCATAAAATAGATTGTATTAACGCTACAAAATAGTCGGCTAACACTGTCAAAGAAGGTTCTTTCACTGTCATCAAAAATTTTGCCGTAAAGTACCGATATTGTTTCCAAGTAAAAAATGTAATCTCAAAAGTGGAGATAGAAAAAACTCGCAAACATGACCCATTCCATTCGTTCACGAAAACTGTTTGTGATTCCGAACTTTATGTGCCTGTTCGAACATGAAAGAGAGTACAATCAGTAGCGAAATTTCGTTTAAAATTCGTTCGTTACCGAAATTTCGTTTCGGAGACAGAGAGTGAAGCTCCTGGTTTTGCTGGCATATTCTGTAGGGGCGTTAATGACGGCTACTAGTTAAGGACTAAATAAATAATTTACACAATTTGCTGTCAGACATTTTAAATGCATTAGGGGCCTTGTAAAAAAATTTTAACAATATCATTTATATAATGTCTTGTTTAGAATACTTGTTACCTGACACCTTTCAACAGTCCCGTGATAGTAGTCTCTTGCTTCGAATATAGTGAATCAGTTTTTATCGTTTTGTCGCTCACCTCTTCAGATTCTACAAACAAATAAACATACATTGAAATATCATAAAAGGGAAGATTTACAATTATGCTCATGAAAAATATAGAGAATGATTGCCAAAAAAACATGAAAAGTCTGTCTTTCTATGCTAGTTTCATATATCCCAGCATCCTTTATTCGTGAGATAAACGCAGTATCGATTTTCAAACAAACTACAAATAGTCACGAAAATACAGTAACTGTAAGTTACCAACTTTTTTTGAGCAACAATTACTTATATTAAAACAATAAGGGAAGATACGGTGCGCTCATAATAGCATCAAATAAAATATGCTCCGAATCAACTACATAAGCAACTCTCACATTTTTTCCAGGGTGGAGGGAAAACTGCCCTAAGCTGTGTTCCATTTCGATGAAAAGATCCGCTGTTTCTAAGTATTCTAAATCTCGACGTCTAGTGCTACTGCCATGCTATGGTAGTTATTAAATACCAAGAAAGTATTAATACTTTAGTAGTAATACTTTAAACGGACACAGTGCTGTAATATAAGCAATTATTGCTCTGTAATATAACTAAGTTTTTAATGAAAGAGATAATCGCACTAAGTAACAAACAAACACAGCCAAACAAGACTAACCTTTAATCCCATTTAGTTGCGGGACAGCCCGCAGTCTATATCCTATAATAAGGCCGTTGTGGGTATCCGGAGGTGGTGGAAGCCACTTCACCCTTAGTTCTCCCGGTGATTCAGTTTGCTCCAACTGCACTCCCAGGGGTGGTGACGAAGGAGCTAATAAGAAAAAAAATGCCTGAGTTACTTCATCATCACCCAACCATACGAGGCCCTCTGCTAAGCAGATGCCTCCCCCACTCTTCACTTATCGGTTCTGATCCGTCCACAGCAACCTTAAATATATTATCAGTCCCTGTGGTTGTAGTTATGCCCCCCCATATTGCGAGCGGCCTTCTGTCGTTTACCAAACATACGGGCGTGCTCCAATATCGTCAAAGAATCGTCAAAACAATTCAACCAATCGTCAAAGAAGCGCATATGCACTAGTTTTTTTAACTAGGCAGAGCTGCATCATCCTTAGGTCAAGCCTTAAGGTCTTCCCGGCCAGAGGCAGCCCCACGGGTGTTTTTTAGTCAGTAAGAGTCTGACATAGTCTTGCAGCCGGCTGTGGGGTAACCATGAGGATTTTTCACCCACCTGCTCCGCAAGGGAGAAGAAAAAAAAACCTAGTGGGGTCTGCCTGCCTACTGAACGTTGTCAGGAGAAGTACGAAATTAAAGAGTTCAAGGTAACGTAATAAAATCTTGAGACAACTATAAAATTTCAGAACTCTATTATTTTTTGGCTATTGATGCAAGTTAAAAGCTAAGACTGGTTTATTTTCGGTTTCTGAACCGATTGACGAATCGGTAAATTAATACATCGTTAATCATTAGCCGATTCATAGTGGATTTAACTTAAGCTTCTTAAAGACAAGCTGCATTTTCACTCTCAGTCAGATACTGAAAATTGCAGTATTCAGGATGCAGGTGTGGTGTGCATTACTGAATCGAAACTGCAATCCCAATGCGCAGTCCGCTTGCAATTGGTACGCAGTTCTAATATTAAAACCCTAGCTTGAATACTTTAATTTTTCAACCCATCTGCTAGTATAGTGGCTAATCAAACATAATACAAAAATAAATATTGATTTCAGTCGAACTTATTTAATAACAGGTACAATATAAGCACGCATTGCTTACAATACCTTCTTCAGTAGTAGTGAATCTCACAGGAGTGGAGTAATGGCTCAGATCAGCCTGGTTTCCTCCAGCCACGCGGGCTGCATATCCTGTAGAGGGTTGCAAGTCATCCACTTCCACGTTGTGTCGGATCTCTTCTAACCTAAGGATTGGGAAGGAAAAATATTGGAGGTTACTTCAGTAGGATGAGACAGAATTTTCAAGATTGAGACATGATTGGTAACCGAATGATCCTGATTCTTTAATAAATAAATTCTTTAATTTACTAAATATTTTTAAATATAGATATTTACAATTTATACTAGCAAATAATACTAATTAAACTGCGAATTGCTCTTCAATTCTATAAGATGCAATCTCATTTTGCAATTTTACTTTTAGCTGTATATTAAATTTAGATTTTTATGCATTTCAAATGCGTGTGTCTGGCTGCTTCATTGTTGCGTTTATTTTGCCGTGTAATGTCATATTAATGCATTACCTCATGTCTACTGCCCCATTTCTCCTCAGTTCTCGCTAGGTGTGTGAGTTAAATGAGTGATTCTTCGACCTTTATCGGTTACTTTAATATGTGAATATGTTCATTGGAAATTCGAATAGTTCGAACATACTTGTATAATTATGTTTTTTTTTAAGCATTTAACTGCTAGATGTTTAAATCTAAAGAAAAGTTTACTAGAAAAAAATCCACGCGGACCAGGCAGCGGACGGGACTCGAACCCGCATCCTTCCCAATCCGGGCAAATGCACTGACCATTATGCTACCACGGCCCTATTCGCCGCGTCGAAATCTTCCCAGCCTTAAGCTGCAAGGCAGCGCCATCTCTTCGCATACTTGTATAATTCAAACAAAAAAAAATTTGTGTTAACAATATTCTTCTGAAGAGTTCGTCATCATAAAAATAGGTAACATGTCTTTTACGAAATAACTTCTATTTATTTCATAGTATGTAATTGGCACATTTATTCATTGAATATAATTGGCACAAATATGGCAGGTAATAAGGAATCACAATTCCAAGTAACAAACCGAAATAGTCCAGATTTCAACTAATAAGTAGGTACCTATTATTCACAAACAATTGCGAAATTCAGGCAAAACTTTTGTGTTTTGTTAATGTGTGTGGGAAAACTGCCAGATGTGGGCCATTCCTTTATACGCAGCGAATTTATGTAATAAACTTAGTGTTTATTTTGAAAACATATATTTCATTTGATTCGTAGAAATTATATTAAAGGTGTCGTGCTTTCATTTTGGGTATCCAATGTCACGCCTATACTACATAATGTTATGAACGAAAAAGGCTTTCTGTCAGTCTGTCATGATTTTACGGTTAAATCTATAATAGGTTTTTTTTTCCTTTGAGTGTGGCGATAGAAGTAAGCTTAGAATATGGAGAAAATGAAACAAACAGTGTAAATTTTTATGTGAAACCAATTTTTTTGACGAAGCCACCACAGCAAACCACTGCTAGTAAGAAGAACGTGTAGTCAAACTATGTAAAAATAGGATGTTGAAAGTAAAGCTAAAAATGTTTCAGTCAATTCATACGGACGAACGTGTTACTATTAACAAGTTGCAATTGAACTATTACGGTCAAGAAAAGGAAAAGGAGGAGCTCGATAGCGCAGGCGATTAGCACGTTCGGCTGCGATCGTTGAAGTTAAGCAACTTTCGCAGTGGTCGATCATTGGATGGGTGACCAAAAATCTCCCTGCTTCGGAAGGCACGTTAAATCGTTGATCCCGGCTGCATCTGCAGTCGTTAGCACCCGCCAATCTGTACTGGGCTCATGTGGTGGGTCATGGCCCAATCTTCCTATTGCATCCGTAGGGGAGCCCTGTGCTCTAGCAGTGGGGACATTAATAGGCTGATGATGATGATCAAGAAAAGATAACTCATTCTAAGCCTCTTACTATAAGTATTCTATTACTTGTTATTTATTTACTCATAAAATAACATTAAAACGTTATTGCAAATGCAACCATGTCACATTAAAATGTAGGAGCGTGTGCTCTTAAAGTTGTCAATAAAAATAGAGTATACTAAAACGGTAAGGTTCTAAAATGTTTACGCTCGTGTTTGCATTAACTGTTTAAATAAAGCACTCCACAAGTATGAGTATCTAAGAAAAGAATATAATGCTATTAGAAAGATTATTTTATAACATTATCAACAATCACTTAGTGCAGTTTCTCCCAGTTAATAATTATGATTTTTATATGCATATTAAACGAATAGCTTATTGGAGATGAGATAAGATTATGCAATACTTATATTGGATCTCTAATCTCTCGTTGTATTATTTTGAAAATAATTTCAATATGATAAAACTAACTTAAAACTTCAAACATTCTTATGTTTGAAGTTTTAAGTTAGTAGTCTTCTACTATCGCGTACTTATCAGAGCATATTTTTATCTATGCTGCATTTAAGAGCATTAAACTCGATATTACGCGTAAATTTGTTATATTTAACGATGTTCTATGAAAACATTGTAGTTCCCCGAATGCAGAATGAAAGAAATTGGACACATAAATAATGGCATAGTTTACGTTTTATAAGAGCACCAACATTTCTCCAACAGAATATTATGAACGACACTCTTGTTAAAAAATCTTCTTAATTCACTAAAATTAAATCTAGGTCTTTTGTCACGCAGTTATCGTATCACATATTTGGTTTATAGCTTTTTCTGTGGATTTGTTGCTGCTGAACATTTGTTTGTTTGTTTGCAATGAATAGACTCGAAAAGTACTGGGCCGATTTAGAAAAAAAAACACATTAAGAATCCTACATTATCCCCGATTAACAAGCTATAGAATATTTTCATAACAGTTAGGGAAACAAAAAAAGGGAAGTCTTCTATTCCAACGTTTGAAAAAAATACCAGAAACAACCTTATATTGTGTACGCTGCGAAAATTATTTATAATAGAACAAAGTGATGTACCTACGTTCAGCAATAATTGAAGAAACCGCGTTACCATTTATCTAACTATTACAGTTATTTTACAGTCATTACTTGTTCATGTTAAAATATGCAATAGTAACGCCCGTTACATATTAGGCCACATTATTAAGAAGGGTGTGTATTAAAATTTATATTTATTTGGTTACATAAATACTATATCAATACCAATCATATTCTGAATCAAGACATTCGTAATAAAAACAAACATATACCTTATGAAAAGGGTTTGGTTTAAAGAGTTAAAATTACTTCACATTGAAACAGGATCTGAATTAACATAAATCTAACCTGGTGACGTTGATCGTCTTGGCCGTATTCCAAGTAAGCCTCTGGCTGGTGGTTATCTGCACGCTGTAGTATTGGGCCAGAGATCTAGTGGCGTCCCGCCATGATAATCGTACTGTTCTACTTCTTATGGAGTCCACTGAGAGGTCAGTTGGAGGAGTTGGTGGTTCTGGAAAAGAAGATCTGGTTAGTGACTATATCAGACGTAGTGCTATATTTCCTAAATTCTAATATATATTTGGAATTGATGAAATACCTTAATGAACTGATCAAAAGAAAGAAACAATTCTAAAATATTGAATAGAAGGCGAACTTCTAAATCAATACTTCATTAAGGAGTCAATAAGTTAGAAGTGAATGGATGACGACGATGATCACGATATATCTAAAATCTACTTTAAGAGTACATTCAGTGGTCATACGGGGATTGTCGGTAATGAAGAAACAAATACAAAAATATAATAAACTTATAACAACAGTAACAGATATGTAGGGTTCCTGTCGAAAACCCAAAGGCAAAAGACTGAATGCAGACTATATGGAACTCAGCCGGTCAAATAATCATGCCATAACCATAGACTTGCCTTAACTAGTTGGACAATTAAACTCAATAGATTCAATTTTTTTCTGCGCCATTTCTACACTTGGACGATTATGTTCTTTGTGCTTTATCAATAAATACATAAGTGCAAAATTTTGAGATAGATACTGCAAAAGTCAGCTTACCCAATATAGTTAGATGGACGCTCAGAACTTGAGCTCCGTACGGGTTCCCGGCCCTGCATTGATACAGCGCTCCGTCGCTCGTCTCCGCCTGCATTACTTCCAAAGTACTCGTCAGACCTTCATCAGTCTTCGCCTCTGATATCTTCACCCTGAGATAACTCATTAGTTAGGTTACTTGCAACTGTAAGCTTGTCTTTTTGTAATAGTACTGGTTTGCTGTGTTATGATATGTAAAACAGTATTGTGACTACTGAACATTTTATGGATAAGATAAATTTTCTTATTTAATAGCACCGTTTCTTTATTTTGTAGAGGTATAAATTTAAAACTTATTATCAAGTGTTAGAAGTTTAAGTAAAAATTACAAACACTTTCTCAGAACAGTGTTTAAGTAAACTGTGTAAGATTTCTTATTTAAAAAATCAAAAAACCCGACTGCTTAATTATACTTCAAATAAAAGCTGAAAAGAAAAAAAACAAGTCCAGTAGTTTATAATTCTGTTAATAAGGAACAAAGCTACTTTAACAGTCGGGACCCATTGTTGAAATAGAATAGTTGTAAACTTTAAAAGAATTCAGTCCCTTTTACCTTTGCATTAAAGGGTTGATGGGCGTCATATTCCTTGTCCACATTATCCTTATAGGCTCATCACCTTTAGCGTGACATTCTATAGTTACATGCTGACTTAGCTTCGCTGTCATATTCCTCGACAATACATCGAAAGTCACCGGTTCTGGAAGAACAATGTGTAATTTAAAGTCTGCTTATACAATTTATGCTCCCATGGTGAAATAAAACTAGGGGAGTAGGTATCCACCTTACAGAAGATTACAATGAAGTAACACTACCTTCAGGTGGTGTTATTTAACCTATAGATGAGAATGATTTTCAGAGCCAGATTCCAGAGATTTTCAGAAATCGCTTACCATCAGGAGTATAAAAAAGGACATCGGTTCTTCCCGCTATGTTACCAGTTAAATAAAATGAAAATGAACTTTATACAGACTTGTGAAAAGATCTTTTGTAATCCTTTTCAATAATTTTCTACCCCTTTTTATGTATTTTTTTCAAGATTAATAATTATACTCACTATTAACTGATATCCAAATAGTTTTGCTGAGTGCTTCTCCCACTCCGTTTTCCACGTGGCAGGTGTACTGACCGGCGTCTGAGAGTGCGACCGTGTCGAATATTAATGAGCCATTAGAGAGGCTTAGTACTCCGCCACCAGCAACTTCAAGTACCGGTCGCCAGGCTTCTGATACAACTGTTGTAGAATATGAATCAATATTATAATCTATTCGAAATTCTCTTACGGGCGACTTGATAATCAAAGTCCAGTAAGGGATTAGCCTAACAAAGCTTTGTTTCTAAGATATGTTTTTACTATTTAGATTAAAATAATAACTGTTGCCATAATATTCAAATCTTTACCTTTTACTCGAAATAGATTATTAAAACTAGCCGTCAAATTGTAAAATAATATAGAAATTAAATCAAGCAATAAATTCTGTTATACGAAAACCAGAGCCCTTCGAAAAATGGAGAGAAAAATCTATCTAATGATGGTTTAAAGGTGAAACAAATCAAAGAGTACTTAGGCAAATGTTTGAAAGTTGTAGAAGATCCAATCAGTAAAAATTTGGAGTCATAGTGGTACTTCTACTCAGTGGTGTGATTATAATAATGTAAAACCAAACATTATACTGTTTACGCTTACCATCTCTTTTCAACCAATGGGTTTGTGGTTGTGGATAACCATTGGCACTGCAAGATACGTGACCATTCCTTCCTAATAACAATGATGTGTTTAGTGGCTCTTCGTTCCACTTTGGTGCAACTAAAAGAAAATTTATTTAATAGCACAGGTTTGAGAGTTTTTCACTTACATAAGCCTATAAAATTTACGTACCTACTTCTCAATGAAAATTCATTAGCGAATTATATTCAGTATTCAAATATATCTTGTGGGACTTTTATATTGTGTAGAAGTTTTGGAATTGAAATTTATTTTTAAATATTATTGTTATTTAGCTCTTCTACAAGGTTGAAATTATTTTCCCAGGCGAGTACTCTAATTCTAACGGGGAATTCACTACATTTCCTATGATATTTACCTTTTATATACAGGTTGGCAGTCCTATTCACCTTAGCTACGTGGTTGGCAGCGACACAAGTGTAAGTACCGCAGTGATCCAAAGAAACATTCTTTATTATCAGTACACTGAATACTTCCATACTCCTCTCAATAATCTAAAACATGATCAAATTATTATTAATTTAAAAAAATCATGTCAAGTTTCATCGTGTTTAAAATTAATATTGTATATGATATTGTTGTTTCTTTGAATTTATTTATTGCGAAAGATATTGCAATCAGATGCTAAGTATACTTAAAATCCTGTTTTTTAGACATGCACTTAGTAGGGTGATCGATTTAATGAGTAAATAAGTAAATCAATATAAATAAATATTTTATATTTATATATATATATAGAAATATTTGATTATTAAAAAAAATATACATATCAGTATATGGTTTCTATCCGGTACACTAGTTATCCCATAACACAAGCCGGGTACTTACTTTGGGGCTAGGCTAATTGGTGTGAGTGTCGAAAACATATATTTATTTATTTTAAAAAAAGTTTTAATTCCATCAAACAACTATTCAAAATAAATATTTAAATTTTAAAAAATTTCATTATTAAAAAAACAAGGATTAAAATGGTCGAGGCAGTGTTGTTTTCCAGAATCCCTATTTTAAATCAATAAACGTCAAACTTCGTCTTCCAATCAATTTTAATTCTTTTGAAGCCTTCGAGCCTTTCAAGATTATAAAAATCAAACCTCATTTTTGGTATTAAATGGGTAACTCAATCTGTACTGATTACAGCTTAAGGCAGTTGTCCTACTGCCCCGGGGAGGAAGCGACTACAAACATAGAGTCAAAATCAAAAATCATTTATTCAGTCTAGGCTGTAGAGTAGATATATTACGTGTAAACAAAAGAGATGCATTAATAGTTGATCGCTTACTGTACACACTGCCGGCGAAAGCTCGCTCCTCTAGTTTGTCGCTGAGCGAGTCGAGCTATCAAAGATAACACTCTCAGCGATGCTGGTTTGGCCGACAGAACGCTCTCGCGTATATTTCTGCTCTGAACTGCCTCCACGAGCAAGTGGCGCAAGTATTCGCCGTCGTACTCGCACACTCGCTTATTCAGCGATAAAACTATCAGTACTACACACATGCTTGCCGTCAATTGTCAACTCGTTTCTAACTCTACTCGCTTCGTCGGTAGGAGAACAGCCTAACAACGAAGATGAGCTTTATTCCTTTCATAGTCTCGATGTCTTTGGTACGCTCCTATTTATATATGAATGAACGTCTTCCTTTCGTATCAACTTTTATGGGACTTTTTAGTATTTATTCACAAGAAAAGCGGTTTTATATTCAGCTGAACTTACTCAAAGGTAAGAAGCCATCGAACATTGAGTAACGATTCAATATTAAGTTATAATGTTACCTTCTGTATAGGCTTTATTAGCGAGCAATTTATATTTCAAAACATCCTAAAATGGAAATTGAAATTCCAAGAAATCTAACCTTCTATCAAAACGTGCATGCGTCTATCAAAACCTTCTGTTTAGGCTTTACTTGCGAGCAATTTTATTTCAAAACATCCTAAAATGGAAATTGAAATTCCAAGAAATCTAACCTTGTATCAAAAATATGTTATATTTATTGCAAATGGTGTCGTATATCACATTTGTGAACTAGAACAAATGCAGAATACAAACAGACAAGCAATGGAGCAAGATATTCAGCAGAAGCGTGACCATGCGGGGTTTCAACAAGACGTTGCAACCGCACAATATCATTTTGGCGATTTAGCATGGCCAGCAATATCGACCAATTGCGGCTACTTGAATTCTCGGGCTTATTTATATAATTATTTATGTAACATAACTATAAACCGGGTTAACCCGTTTAACCCGTTTACCGTTCGAGTAGGGCGTCCCCCCTTCCCTCAAAAAGCTAAAGTATTGGCTTGAAAAACCTGAAAAAATTCATGATAATAGTGCTTTTCATGATTTTTTCAGGAAAATTATAACGGTAAAGATAGATTTGTTAATTTAAGAGTAATAGTCGTTCATCTTTGGTTGAAGAAAATTTTGTACCTATTGAAAATTCCTTAGAAGAAAACATTAATAGTGACAAAGAGTAAGTTATTGGAGCGTAAAACCTTGCATTGCATCAAAATAAAGAAAAAACTATTTGAAAAACATAATATAAAATATCATTAGTTCCACAACGCAATCGCGAGTACCAACGGCATCGGTACCAATTCTGAGTCGCGCTAACGTTAAGTTTTTATAAAGAGTATATAAGCACTTAAAAAAATTGGCGGTTATATAACTGCATCATCTCCCTCTCAGAGGATGATCGCTTCAGATGAAGCTTGTAAGGCCCTTCCGGCCATAAGCATGAACTACAGGTTTTAGTAAAACTCTGACATAAACTTGCAGCCGGCTGTAGGGTATCCATGAGGATTTCGCACCCGCCTGGGAGGAAGCAAAAAAAATCGGCAGTTATCAATCGTATTTGAAAAAAGAAATATCAAATTGATTTTGAGTTTGAGACGCAGTTTGACTTTGATTTACGTATTTTAGTTGAGAAATCTAGATTGTGAATAATTGGTTTTTCTAATTTCCGATACAAAAAATAAAGTCTTCTGCTCACATATATTGTGGTAACGACAGGCAACTACGGAACCCTACACTGCGCGGGGCTCGACACACACTTGGCCGGTTCTGTTACTGTGGCCAAGTCCTGCAATTTGTTTTTTAGTGATTGCATTGATAAACACCAATATTCCCGGACAATAAGTATCTCAAGTCCCAATCCAGGAAACAAACTGCTTATGTACCAGATTTAATTCAAATTACAATAGCCAAACTGATGATTGAGTGAAAAACATACAAACATTCAGATTTGTATTATTACTAGCATTCGACTATTCTACAAAGCAAGCAATTCTTCAAACACTTCGTACGTATAAAAACTTATGTACTTTCTTTTTGAACGTTTCTTTTAAAATTATATTTTTCATTGAAACCTACGCCAAATTGTTTCCTTTTAACAAAGCAGTTTGACATAATATTCAGAAAGTATACAATAGGAGGCCTTATTGCTAAGTAGCGATCTCTTCTTTGAAACCTGAAGGTAAAATAAAATAAATTTAAAGCACCAAGTCCAACTTTATCCTACTAATAATAATGTATATGAAAGTTTGTATGTTTGTTACTGTTGAGTACGGAAAGAGAGGGAGTGCACGGAGGTGAATAAGACGACAATTATTTTCACACTGATCTTTAATCATAAGGAGCAGTGCCTCCACTCCGGGAGGCAGCCCGCCCAGCTATATAACAGTTACTCAATCACGCAAAAACTACTAAACTGATAAGGATTTAATTTTGGTACGCATATAGTTTATGACTTGGATTGAGATATACTTTTTATCCCGAAAATTTGAGGTTCCTGAGAGATTCTCAAAAATCTAAAATTAATGCGGACGAAGTCACGAAGGCTGCTAGTCTCAGACGATAACAACAACCCCAGAGTGTGTAATTTTTTATTGAAGTGAAACTGTTGACGGGTTGTAAATGGAAAAATTATATGGAAAAGATGAAACGGAAATGCGTTACGAGCGTCAAATGATGATATATATATGTGTGTGTGTGTGTGTGGGATGCATGCACAGCTCTTCCCGACGAGCATGAAAGTGGAGGGTAACTCGGCGAAGGCTGAAACGCTACGAACGTCGCGAGCATATATACTCGTACATATATGAGTGATGCGTGCACTGCTCCATTCCTCTATGCCTTATGCTCCGCCTAATATTAGGTTATTTAAGAAAATAATTTTTAACTCAGAGGTGTGTCCATGCCCACTATTTTTTTTATCAATTTCATGTAATTTTAATTCATTATTTTATAAAAGTATTAGCTTTCTGGACACCTTCTCCACATAAACATTAATTATCCATAAAACTAACTTTGCTCGGTATCAATATTCATACCGAGCAAAGTTAGTTTTAAAAGTATTTGACTTAACATTTGAACGCATTGTACTCGTATGTCAATTGTTTTTTTTAATTAAAGCGTTACGTGACATATTTTATATAATAAGATAAATTGAATCAAGATAGTTTAACTTGATGTTGTATCAATAAAAACAGAAAACGAGAATCTTTTTATTACAATTTATAATGTTGTTTTTCTTTTGATGATTAGAAATATTTCTTAGGCGATGCTGGATGGATCGAATCTTCGTTACGGAGAAAATTAAAGTTAAAGGTTTAACAGAATTTATCTATAGGCAGTACAATACAATGAAATAATCAAAACATAGAAAAAAGTTTAGCATAGATAAATAATTTATTGCAAGTTCAAATGCTTTATTGTGATATTTTGGTTAATTATCTAATATATAAAATTATCGTGTCACGGTGTGCATAATTGAACTACTCCGAAACGGCTCGACTGATTTTCGTGAAGTTTTATATGCATATTCAGTAGGTCTGAGATGTCCGATCTATTTTTCATCCCCCTAAATGTTAAGGATGGTCCACAATTAATTTTTTTTAGAACTAATGTTTTTATTTTTATTTTTTTATGATACATCATACAAAACTACATACAACCCTAAATTTTCACCCTTCTACCACCAACCCCTATTTTTTTATGGTTGTACGAAGTTCGCTGGGGCATCTAATTTATTTATATATTATTTCCTAAGCTGATTTGATAAATTGAATTTTCGCTAAAATCTTAGGGATTTTGCGAAAACGCGGACAATTAAACGATGGCCATGGCATTGTCTAACCTAGTATTTACGACTTTCCAAACTGTTAATCTATTCCGTCGAAATAGTAATAAAAAAATATTTAATAATAAAAATCAAATAATGCATGTAGGTAAATAATAATAATATATAATTGCTAATCAAAATCACAATCAAGCGAACGTAAACAATTTCAAACCAAGGAATTGTGTCTTTACTTTCATACTCGTACATGTTAGTTACATACCTTCAAATGATTAGGAATCTTCTTCCCGTCCTTAAGCCACGAGTAATACACCGGTGAATCTCCGCTTTTCAAATTGCAATGTATCTGTACGATCTGCCCTTCCTGCAAATCTTGCGCCAGCAATATCTCTTCTAACTGAGGAGGTTCAACGACATGCAACTCGAAAGACCTTTTAGCCATTTCTCCCGAGGGACTTTTCACTATGCACGCGTAAAAAGCGCCGTTGTCGCCCTTGGAAACTTTTGATATGTTCAGAACACCGCCGTTGGTAACTGTCGCATCTCTTTTCGACCTTCTTAACTTCGGCTTTCGTCCGAATATTTCGATACTTAAGTCCTCGCTTGTGAATCGCCTGAAGCGATTGCTCGGCGATATCGTTATGTCCGATGTTATTTTTTTGCCTTTGTATTCCCATGTGATCTCTCTGCAAGATTGGAACTTAATGAAGGGGGAAATGTGGATGTATTGGAACAGTTGAAGGTTACGGCAGTTAAATTTCTACGCTGGTCGGTCTTATTTTTGTAGGTATTCAATTTTACTAAAAGCCATCACTACTTTGTGTAGCTACATGCCGTAATGATTAATGCGTTCGGTTTGTGATGCTGCAAACAATTTTCGCAATGGCTGGTCAGGTGACCAAAAATAAGTTATCTCATGTGCCTCCGAGCTTCAGAAAGCACGTTAAGCCCTTGGTCCCGGCTTCATAACTGAGACAGTAGCACCCACACATTCGCACTGGATACAATTGATTGGAAAAACCTAGCACCCAAATTATAAATATCAGAGACTAGTGGCCCGCCCTCGCTTCGCTTCGGCGTAGAGCTGTAGTGTAGAATTCGATTTTTCTCACCTTTTAAACCTTCCCTAGACCTCCACAAACATTTCAAGACCATGATAAAATAAATCCGTTCAGCCGTTCTCGAGTTTTAGCGAGACTAACGAACGGCAATTGATTTTTATATAATTGAAGATTGCGCAAGAAAAAATGTACAAACTTAATTAAAACCTATTTTTAGAAGCATAATTTGCTGGAGTTACCTATGTCTGCAGTCTGCGAAGAGTGTTTTTTTATAACATTTTTTTATACCTTAGATATTATTCTTACCTTACAGGATAGCCGTAATAAGGGCACCTCAAAGTAACACTTTGTCCACTTTGCACTTTAAACGGCGGAAGAGTCCGTATGTAAGGTGGACCTGAAACAATAATAACTATGTGAATGAAAGCGCATTATAGATAAATAAATAAAAAATACGTGTGGCACTCGGGGACTGCCGCGGTAAAGCTATTGCATAGCATTATTTATCAACTTATGCAATTATAATTATTTATTTATTTTATATATGCAGTATTTTTTTTTCTTTGATATTAATAGATGGCGGCGAGGTAGGCCTTATGATATTTTATTGGGCAAGCACAGCAAATAACAGCATTGCCCGGCTTAGAAGCATTAGGGCGGATGTTGATTTTGCCAACTTTATAGGACAGAATAAAATAAAAATTCAATTTTATCTGCAAATATTTTAATAAGTACAAAAAATACGTAAATGTTTTCTTTGCATTTACTTAGCTAATTATGTAGCTTAACTAGCTTTATAATTAAAAATACCTTTATGTCACTAAAATTATTCAATGTATTTGTTCAAATGATTAGTAATGTGCATAAAACTGTTTTTGTAATTTAATGTGACGTGTTTGTCCAAATGCGACTTTATTGTGTTCATTTATTAACTGTGGTTCTTTTGGCAAAAAGTCGGACATCTCTTAACAAAAAAACTGTTGGATAAATAAACGATAATTATTAATTTAATAATAATAAGAAAATGAGAGAAAATTAAAATATTTAATTATTTATCTATTTAAAATTTTGCTTGATAGAATTGAAGTATATTTTTATAGAAATACATATTAAACATCCATGACTGGAGTACAAATATTAAACATCCATGACTGGAGTACAAATGCTCGTATTCATCACACAAACATCTGCCCCCACCGGGATTCGAACCCGGGACTTCTCGAGTCGGCGACACCATGATACCCGGCGTACAAACCACTCGGCCACGAAGGGCGTCAAAAGTTCGTCAGTTAGGCTTTTTGATTGCGTGACCGGCTTAAATAAAGTGTTCGGCTTGTACGGCTTTTGATAGGATTTTACAATTTTTTGTCTTAAATAATATTACCGAGCCACAAAATCCTCAATAATGTATGGTATCCGACTGTTTTACCCAAATATTCGGTTAAACTGGCTGGTCTGAACGGGTATTGGTTTTCGGGAGCTATCAACCCTAACCGCGGGGAATACCTGAAATTCCTGAAGAAATTTTGTCTTAAAATAATACTCGGATATCGAACATCAATCAACAACTTATGTATACCTAAATCATTACGAATGATGTTTTTATCATAATAATTTATTTATTTTCACAAAAGTTTTTCACGGCCTCAGAGCAACCCCAGTGTTCGCTTCAGATACTTCTGCGAAACGTAACCCGGTTTGGTTTCGTGTGAAAGTAGCGAGAATCTGAACAATTCGTGGAACAAATACACTTGAACGGAATTCATTAATATTTTCAAAGGGAACAATTTTCTGTTGCCACAACATAATTAAATGTACCTATATATATATATATATATATATATATATATATATATATATATATATGATATTTGTAGTATTTGTGTTTTATACTAATGAATAAAACATATTTGTTTGCGTTTAGTTAAAAACCATTTCACAGAATTAATGTTATGCTTATAAAATGATACAAAATCACATTTGATAAGATCCAGTATGGATAGATAGTATTCGTTAATGTTAATTTATCCTGTTCGTATCTGATTGGTATTGCTTACATGGGTAATAAATACGTTCTGATATTATAAATATCAAAATTAATCTGTCTATCTGTTCGTTACATTTTCACATTTAAATTACTTATGTAATCAATTTTGGTATGGAGAAAAAGATTATATTGGATAAGGTCGAGACTAAATCTTTGTGCTTAAAATAGGAGAGTGAATCTGTATGTTTTGGGATATATGGAAAACCACCCATCCCACGCAAGTTCCTTGGTCACTTATAATACTACGATATATTTAAATAAATGTTTAAATTCCAGCCAATTGAAAAGGAAAGTTCATTTAATACTCTGATACTTAATCGATATTATTATGTCTATGCAGTACTCTAAGCACGAGCTAATATCGAGTTCGAATAGTTTGCGAGTGCGAAATGTCATTATCAAATGTGTTGATTTTTAGTACTTGTTACTTCCGTCGTGGCGCTGCTGTTCAAGTTTCCATACAATATGACAATGACATTTCGCACTCGCAAACTATTCGATATTGGTTCGTGCTATGGGTACTGATTACCTTAAGTGAACTTTGCAATCGAGGAAAAAAAAAGCAATTCGGATTAAAAAAATGTAATTCAAACCCAAGTACTTACTTTGGAATTAAGCTTATTGGTGGGAATGTTAGAAATATTTATTTACTCATTAATATGAGTTGTTGCCGCCTCAGGAAGAATATAATCTGACACAATGTCCGAATCATTGCAATGTTATTTCAATGTCAGTCTGACTGTACAGTCATTTATATGTTACAATGTTGTGCAACAGTGATACTTGATGTGGACGTGTTATATAACAAAAGTCATCTTTTTTAGCTGGACACATGTTTATACCTTCTTATTGAAAGAAAATACCAACTTGTTATAGTATGGGAAAAACTAGAAGATTTGCCCGTTCGGAGAGTGGAACCATCTTTCAAAATGGTATTTAAATTTTGCGCAAACAAAACGTCAATCAGAACAAAACGGTCAAATTTAAATACATTCTTTAAATATGCTTCAATTCTCCCACATGGCCAACTCTCCAACTCTCCCGGTTTTCCCCTACTTATTTTTTTTGTTTCCCCTGTGATGACACCTCGAGTGATTAGAACACAAAACACGGCAAAGCTACATAATGGAGGAATTCAAAGTTACTTGCACCAACATTCTGAAATCAAATTAGGGCTTAAGCCTGCTTAAAACATCATTCCATCTTTGTGTTTCAAGTCAAATAGAGATAAAATGCGACTGTGTAATGATTAGCTTTAACATTTTATTGTAAAAAATAACAGTTAACTTACCGTAAACATTAAGACGATCCTGGTGGCTAATAACATTTTCCCCGTGATGGGCAACACAGGAAAACAGACCTCCATCGTCCACCATTAGATGGGATATGTTCAACTGCGTCATTACACCACCGTCCGCTGCCATTGTTTGACCTATCACATATCTGTGGAAACAAAATTGATGGTTAAAAGCTAAAAGTTAAGATTCAAAATTCATTGAAACGGCAAGTGTTAACATGTGACCTGACAGGTCTTAAACAAAAATCCGCGATGACTCCACCCCACCTGGTGTAAATTAACATTGGAATCTAGACAAGGATATAAGTGATGCGGCAGTTTTACCTGCCACACTAGCCATCCTCACCTTGCTGGCCTACAAGGTAGTTCTTCAGTCAAATTAACATTTGGAGTCGGTCCTATATATGTTAATAGTTCTGAGTTACCATATACTGCTTGGATCGGCATGGCACCGACACCAAAATGTTAATTTAAATTAACTTTAGCTTTAAGTAAAAAATATGTATTTCTTCTTACTTTTTACTGGTTTTGTTTTTATGAAGACCATTTTAATCGTCATTAATAAAGTTATTAACATGAACCCCTTATTATTAAACGAAGAATAAGTTTGGATAAGTTAATCCATATTTTTCTCTGTTCATTGAATAACAAATGATATTTGAGTTATATGAACAAAACATGGCGTAACTAGTCTGAGCTCAATCCTCGTTTATTAATAAAGGGGACTAATTTTATACTAAAATCTTTAATTTAAATGATGAAATTGAACGCTAACGTTAGTTTATTTATAGTCTTCTTAATAATCCCCTTTATTTGATACCGATATTATGGAAATGCTCGGAGTATCTCTGAAGGACCGCATCGCAAATGATGTAATCCGACAGAAAACCAAAGTCACCGACATAGCCCACCGAATTAGCAAGCTGAAGTGACAGTGGGCTGGTCACATTAGCCACAGAGCTGACGGCCGTTGGAGCCGGAAAGTTCTTGAATGGAGACCACGACTCGGTAAACGTATTGTAGGACGCCGTGAGAGAAGATGGGATGATGACACCGTAGGCTGGCTGGAGTGGACTGGATGAGAGTGGCAGAAAATTGGGAGCAGTGGCGTGCATTAGGGGAGACCTATGTCCAGCAGTGGACGAGCATGGGTTGATGATGATGATTATACACAATAATAAACTTTGTTTATCTTGAGTCAAATTCATATTTGGAATTAATGCCAGTGCCAGGCTAACCCAAGTAATAAATGGAAACTCAGATCTATCAGACCTGCATGGCACCGACACAAAGAATAGATAAACTCGAAGATAAGCTTGGATCAGCTACGCAGTGTTTTTTGACAAAACACCTTTGACCCCCCTTAATGATACCTAACGCAGTATTTTGTATAATAAAAACACTACAGAAACTTTTATATGGAATGAAGTGCTAAGGGCCACAACCGTTTAATAGACACTCAAAGGCTGCTCCATTCCCCTGTCTTATGACCCAACTAATGTCAAGTTATTTAAGAAAAGAGAAGATTTAAGAAATTTTCACTTCAGATGTGTTGTCCGTGTACACTGATTTTTTTTTTGAGTTACGGAACGTTGGAGGGGCCAACTGCATTATAATCATAACTATAAGAATCAGGGGTCCTTTAAGAGAGGCGTGAAAAAGCATTTTTGCAGGCCGGCAAGGTGAGGATGGTTGGTGTAGCAGTTTATGACTGCTGTACCAGCTATCTTCGCGTTTGGACTTTATCACCACTTAAGATGAGGTGGGGTAGAGTTATTTGCCTACCTGGCTATAAAAAAAAATATATTAGCCATAAAATCAATGCCTACGAATTCGTAGGCACTGCAACCCGCTACGAAGTTGTAGTTGTTAACTGCTACGGGGTCGCGGGGCTATGTTGCGTTGATTGGAATAGTCGCTCTGTTCGCGAAGTATTTTAACGAAGTTGAGTCAGTGCAATGTAGGTATCCATCACAAAAAAGCCTTGTTTAAAAATATCGGGTATTTTTCATGTTACCAAATTGAATTCACCAGATGTTAACTTTCTAGCAGCATATGGGCATGGGCATAGTTTCATGTCTACTTTTATATTTTTGCTTTTAAATAAAGCTTCAAAATTTTTATAAATAACTCTGGATAGTGAAATGTCAATATTCGCGCCTGAGGTTCCAGTTTTGCTTTTTTTATACAGTCTCAATTAACTAGTTAACTTACATTAATTTCTCTTTATTGAAAATTTATATGCCTTACTCTTTTATCAACCACTAAATAATAATCAGTAGCTAGTAAAAGTGACAAGAAATCGGGAATTTTAAACAATTTCTGTTAAAATACGTCCAAAGAGCGTTAGCGTAAGATGCTGTTAACAGTACATTTACTTAGTAGATTTGAATTTTTAATATAGACCAGCTTTTAAGGTAACGTCACTAATGTTTGATTCCACGAAACGTTATTGTTCAGGGTAAAGGTCATAGCTCATCAGAGCCACCCGGTACCGCCTTGGCACATGGCGTCCACTCGTGGTCGACGAGCAAACTCTGTTGGCTGCCACGTTGTCAACCAGCTAACGTCAGGTGGGCGGGTTGCGCCACAGGTCGTTCGTTGTCAACCAGTGAACGTGTGGTGGTCGAAGGGTGAACGCCGCGCCGTCGCGTAGTTGAAAATTAAGAGCAGACGCGAGCTGAGAGACATTTCAGAAATAGGTTTTTGAAAAAACTATTGCTGTCACGCATTGGCAAATACCGTGTAATAGGGACAGCAGTAGTTAAAGTTGAAATTTGCGTATAAAAATTGCAAAATTTAAGGTTTGGCTCTCGACGATTTTCTCCTCGAAAATTAGATATATGTAAAAGAAATTTTACACAAAGAATAATAAGAAGTTATACTATGCCTCTTTGTTTTTTTTTTTTTGTAAATGCTTATAAAATCTCCATACTAGACGTCTTTAGAGGCGATAAAAAATTATTTATTTTTGACCTTTTCAAGAGCTTCGAGCTTCTTTGAAACACAAATTATCTAAAAATGAGTAAAATGTATTTTATGAATGAAAATAAATTTTTTAGTGATTAAAATCAAGGAGGAATCCGTCGAGAACGTTTGTATAGAAAAAACATAGCGCGCCTCCCCTCTTATGTACTGTGATAGAGGTTGTCATTAGATTTACACATATGTTTTCACAATGTTTAATTTTACAAACCGTGAATTGACTCTAATAGTTGTAGCGCTTAATGAAAAGAAAACGAAATGCGTTGTCAACTCGCAGGCAGCGCAACTCAGGAGCAGCACGTTTAAAACCAGCGCAGCTGCAAATACACGTCACACAATAAGCGTGCGAGCAGCAGGTGGTCACAGAGTTGTCCTCCTGCCGCCCGAGCGCGGACTGCTTGCAAGTGAGGCGATCCGGTGAGGGTACGTAGTTGATATAGTGAGCGCATACCCATAGAAATTCATACAAAGAATATCAACCACACTAGTTGAGGCGGTGTTGTTCGGGTGCCAGGTGGTTCTAATGAGCTGCTACCTTTACTCTCCGTACAACAAAGTAAATGATAGTGGTAAAAGCTGTCTTCGGTTCTTACCATGGATATTTTAAGAGATAATCTTTAGAGTCTCCTAATTCTGCACTAAGTGCTCATTTTACTGAGGAAATTAAGAATAACAACCTTTTGTAGGCCATGACATAGTATATACTTAAGACAAACACACATCTTCATGCCGTATCCTGCGTAATGTAGGAAGATATATCCTTATATAAGATAAGACATATATGATAAAATATTGGGATACCTCGAATCCGTATTAGAAGAAATAATGATGCCATCGCGTTCCCAAACGAATCTTGCTGGATGCGGGCCGTTCACGACGCATTGGAGACTCACCTGTAAATTAATACGCATAAAGTACATATTCTTCAAACAAGATGAAACATTGTAAGCGAGTTTAGGCCGCGATTGTGGTAGAAACTTTTGATAATGCCGGCCATCGGATGACTGATCAAATAGTACATTACAGCAGTGGCCAGCAAAACAGAGATGCCTAATTGTGGCCAGGACTTGTATAGTACTTTTCTCAAATAATGCGCGGGAATTAGATCTAAGTAGTACCTAAGGCACAACGTATTATTTTGTAATACAATTACCTACCTTTCAAAATCAATGACGAACAACAACACTCATTTATTTGGTTTTTTATTTCAATAAACAGCTTTCTATTGCAAGTCAGAAATTTAAATGAAACCTTTGATAAGTTACCTCTTTGGTTGACATGTTTTGGAGTAAAAGATCTTTTTATTTTTAAGGTAAAATAAATAAATAAATATTTCCAACACACACACCAATTAGCCTAGCCCCAAAGTAAGCACTATAAGGCTTGTGTTATGGGATACTAGGGTAACGGATAGAATACATATACTGTACATATATAAGTATATTTATATAGAAATATATATTAAACATCCATGACTGGAGTAGAAATGCACGTATTCATCACACAAATATCTGCCCCCTCTGGGATTCGAACCCGGGACCTCTCGAGTCGGCGACACCACGAAACCCGGCATACAAACCACTCAGCCGCGGAGGTCGTCAAAAGGTACACAACAGATATGAGTTTATTGTAATTAATTTTGCCGCTAAACACTGCGGATATGGATTTTCATAGAGCTTTCGCCGGTCGCTGCTCGCATGTATGAGGCCAGTACAGCAATTTATCCCGAAGAAGGTTTTTAAAATAATGCTCAAATTTCCAAGAATTTTTGAGAAAAAGCTATTATTTCGAGCTCTTTCGTGCTTCGGAAGGCCCGTTAAGCTGTTAAACCTGATCACGTCTTGAGTCTTTAGCACCCACCAACAAACATTCCCGCATGCTACAAATGTAAAACTTTCATAAAGGTATACTGTGATAAAGAATAAAACGACTCAGTTAAAAGGCTGCGTTTCCCTAATGCATGATTTAAAAAATTTAAAAGTATTTTTTGAGCTCTTTCGACTTCTGAAAATTTAGTTTGTAACGCTCCACCTCATACCATTAAGAAGCAAAAATACCATAAGGATGAATGAATGAATGAATATTCTTTATTGCACTATTTAACAAAATATATACAACATAAAACTCAAGGAACACAAACACAAAAGGCGGCCTTATTGCTAAGGTAGCAATCTCTACCAGGCAACCTTTGGCTAAATGAAATCATACCATGAAAAAAGAAGAAACTGCGGGCTAGTGCATTTTAAAAATAAAATAAAATAGACGTAAATATCTTTATATATATAATTCTTCTGTGAGTGTGTATGTCACTGAACTTCTCTTAAACGACTGGACCGATTTTGATGAAATTTTTTGTGTGTGTTCAAGGGGATCTGAGAATGTTTTAGATTCACAATTTTGTCCGCTGGACAACCCCTATTTTTTTAGGGCGGTACGAAGTTCGCTGGGTCAGCTAGTAAGAATATAAAAATAGTAAATATATAAGGAAGCTATAAAATATAATACCAAGTAACTAACAGATAAAAAGAAAAAGATCAGGCAGAGTCCAGCTTGAGGAAATATTCCTTAATTTTAATGGTAAAGGAGTCCCTCGTCTGTGCACGTTTGATAACCATAGAATTTTACAGCTCTTACATAGAATGACTTGGCTACGAAATCAGTGGAGTGGGGTGGGATAGCTAAGGATAGGTTATGAGAAGACCGAAGATCGCGGACAGGATTAAAAGAATGAAAAGTGAAACGCTCCTTAAGATAGAGAGGAGTGTGTGGATGAAAAAGGATAGAATAAAGGAGTGATAGGATGTGGCAGTCTCTTCTACGAGATAGCATGTGCCCCAGTATTGGGGCCACTAAAGATGGTAAAGTTACACAACAGTGTGGCCTTTTCCAAAAAATCCTTTAAACATTTCGTTTCATAATAAAAATAGAATAAAGGTACATTATTTTTAAGCGCTTGACTTATAACAATAATTATTCTTCGTTTGACACAATACTGTTTCTTTCCTTACCAAGAAGTTTAACACAGCACCGAGAGAGTACACAATAGGAGGCCTTATTGCTAAGTCGTGATCTGTTCTTTGGAGACTGGAGGTAAAAATAAAAGGAAACACTTCTAAGGCTTTTAACTTTATCTTCCAAAAAAATACGAAACATTACCAAAATATATTATATACCAACTACCGAAAATAGAGATGATAATGGAGTAAAATCAGAGAACACAGAAAGAGGTTTGAAGGGTGCTCATAGACCGTATGTACGGAACCCGATGTCGCTGCTCTCCCCCACTACACTTCCACCTAATAGATAATAGCCAATCAAACGACGCGACAGCAAACAATCGACCCAATCAGCGCTCACACCCGAGAGCAACGACGCAATCAGAAACAAGTTTTGGTCATGCTATCAGCATTTGCTCACACATAACTATGGCGCGCCCGCTCCGCTCACAAGACCCTTCTAACCTCTTTCTGTTTTCTGTGTGTAAAATAATCGAAGTTGTATTCAGTCCGCTAGTTAGAATTTTTTCAAATAACCAAAAACTGCCAAGATGAAGCGCGTAAATGTTTGAGAGTGGAGGCCAACGATATTGTTTTTAATATCGTTAGTCACTCGGACTCGTTGCGTCGTTTCTACGTAAAAATTGTACCAAGACGTGACGTCATGCGACATATCAAATCAATATAGATATTGTGTCTGTAATCTTCTGATTATGTGAAAAAAGAAAAAATACCGCATCCAACACTTTTTGGTTATTTACCTGATAAATGCATAATACATGGCCCAATCTCCCTATTCCATCCATAGGGAAGGCCTGTGCCCCAGCAGTGGGGACATTAATAGGCTGATGATGATGATGATGAAATGAAGAAAAAAACTTGGTCATTATCACTATTCTTATTTATTTATTTGTGTAATGGACTTCTATATTATGTAACTAGCGGCCGCCCGCGACTTCGTACGCGTGGTGTTAGTTATTTGCACATACTTTTAGACCCCAAAAGGGAGTTTATTTCTGAACATTCATTATTAGTACATCTCTACCCTATCTATAGAGCATACATGTTAAATTTCAAGTCTCTTACTTCAAAAACATAGGACTTTCATACAAACTTCCAACCCCCGTATAATTCCCTTAGGGGTAGAGTTTCGCAAAATTCGTTCTTAGCGCATACCTACATCCTATAAGGAACCTACCTGCCAAATTGTAAGTTTGTAGATATTATAGTATCTGAGATTTCGTGATTAACCAGTGAGTGGTATTTCGCTGCAACGTCGTCTGCGTGATATAGAACCAAAAATACCTACGATTATACCTTTTAAAATAACATTCATTTACCCGTTTCTTCTCAACATTGCATATCTACAGAAAGTACAGTAACAAAGGGAGACTCTTTTGTAAAATTGACCTTCAAAAAGGTGCTGATTTTCGGCCTGCTTTGAATAAATGACTTTATGGTGATTCTGCTTAATTAAGTCATAAATTGTGACTGAAGCAGATGGAGAAAATAATGAATAAGTAATACAGAATAGGGTAAAAATACATACATATAGGACTTCTCGATAAACAACATTAGTGGTTTGCCTCTCCACAGCTAAAATGTAAAGAGAGTCAGGACTGGTGACGCGGGAGCAAGCGACGTACAGCTGCCCGTGTGAGAAGCAGCTCGTCCTGAGGTTGACATCCGCTGCCCTCAGTATCTGCCCCTGCGACTTATTGATGGTCATCGCGAAGCAAACACTCACGGGGAACTGTACGCGCTTGAACTGGAAAGGGAAGTTATGAGGTATGAGGGTAATGCGTAGTAGAAATACTGCCTCGCCGAACGAAATTCCGCCTCAATGGTGTGTGGAGCGAGATGACTTTTAGGCTGGTCCACTGGTTACACAACTTCTGAGAAGATAGGTTCCGAAGAAGTATAATCAGGACACCGACCTTCAGTTTGATGGTATGCGCTGGAAGTCCACTTGCTGTCAGGGAGTTCAGAAATTCTACGGGATAATGTGTGGCGTCACCTTGCTCGACGACAGTGTTTATAGAGGTGTAGACCACTTCATTCCCCTCAATTTCCGAGAGAATGCATTCGTTAATTGCTGCAGCATTTCATTCATTTTTGGGCGTCAAAATGGCCCGCTCACACCCAAGATTTCTGCTGGTGCGCTATACGATTACTGTCCCCGTACACAGAGCGAATGAGTTCTTCCAAGCTGGATACTACTCTATCGAGAGACTCTGGAAGCACCACCTGTCCACCTTTCTCCTTCGATAGAGTTCCTTCGCCAAGACTTAGAAGGACATCGGAGAATTCTTGAGCACGTGCATTGCTGCCGAGCCGAGCTGTCATATTAATGGTCAAGCGCAGCGAACTTGTAACTTCAACGAAGTTCGTTTCAACGAAGCATTCCCCTCGTCAGCCGTCGATCCCCGTGGCACCACGGGAAACGTTTGTTGGAAATTGCCACTAAACAGAACTATGACACCACCCATCAAATGTTCGTTCCTGCGGATGTTCTGCACAGTTCTGTCCACGGCCTCAACTGCCTTCCTACTGGCTATCATACACTCATCCCATACGATCAGAGAGCAATCCTTGAGCACGTGTCCTTCACTGTTACGTGACATACCACAAACAGGCGTTTCAGCACTCTCTAAATCGATGGGAATTTTAAACATGGCATGTGCTGTGCCACCCGGAAGCAGTGTGGCAGCGATTCCCGACGACGCTACAGCAATGGCAATTTTGCCTTGCCCCCTGACCTCTGCAAGTATGCCAGTGGTAACAAATGTTTTTCCTGTTCCACCAGGAGCATCCAGAAAAATCATTTTACTCTGGTTTTGCCCAACGCTTTAAAGGTGTCATAAATTAGTTTTTGCTCAGAAGAGAACATTGCAACAAGGTCATTTCTTATGGTGGTCATTTCGCTCGGATCGTAGATTGTAAAATTGTCTATTATATTTACCGGCCTAAGTTACTTATAGTGTGAATCTAGCTTTTAGCATGGTTAACATAATAACAACATTGAAATATGCGTCGTTAGGTTACACGTTGTTACGGAATGCGTTGAAGAAATAAAGGTTTACTGCTCGTTCCCTGTAGGTGGTAGCGTGATAATATGTAGCCTACATATATGTTGACCCGACTTCTTAATAATATTCGTACCAAATTTGAAGTAAATCCATGCAGTACTTTTTGAGTTTATCCCGGACATACATGCAGACAAACAGACAAAAATTCTAAAAACTCTATTTTTGGCTTCGGTATCGATAGTAGATCACACCGCAAGTTCTTTTAAAAAATATATATATATTGATATTCATAATAATTAATATTTTTAAAAGAAAATATAGCACTGCGATTGGAAATATTAAGAAGATTTAGAACATACATCAAATTAGTAAATCAACTAGCAAACCAGTGAACCAAATGTTCACCAAAAAAAAAATGTATTTAATTAATTGAGAACTTCGGAGATTTTGTGTGGTTTCGTTTGAAATAGAAATCACGTGATTTCTCGAAAACCGGAAGTGCTACGTTACTCACATCCGGTTTGTAGTCTTATCAGACTATTCTTAACTTATAACTTAAACATTCTCTATATCTATATCTTACGGTTTGCCCGCTGAAACAGCACCACGGACGGACGGACGGACTTGTCTAATAGATAAGAGATGAAACAAAATCGTTTTCCGTTGTCGTCATTCAATTGTTTATTCCAAATACATTTTACCTACACAAAACAAAACACAAACGAATTAAATAATAATTAATTAAAGCTTTCGTGTTCACAATGCACATAGAATACGTTCGACTAACATTCCCATTGAATTATTAATGAAGTTAACCATCATTGAAAACGGAATACCTAACAGTTGAATAGGATCAAAGCGGAGATTATGTTTCGAAATCAATTTTGCGTTATGAAGTTACAGCTGGAATTGTATTTCCTAAAAGGCAATGTGTAATTATATGAAAGCACGAATAGATACAGTGACGGCCAAATGTTAATCGGTTAGCAAACATTCAAATTAATTACGAATACGAAGTCGATATTAGGTTATTTGACAAGTTTATTAAAACATGCGTACTGTTAAGAGGCCGGCGCTGTTCGTCGTCCAAAAAAAAAACAAAATTCCCGGATACGAATTTAATGGAAATTAATTACACACGCGAACTCGAGTACCAAGTCCTGAGCTACCCGGACGGACCGTTCTTTCTCGTTGCCGAAGTCTAACTAACTATGGGAATTGATGAAATAATGTTTGGGCTGCGTTAATGCAACTCTGCAGTTCTATGGAAAATTACAGTTATTCACATTATTGTTGAATTAGCATTCTAAGGTTGCTAAGTCGGGTTATAACCATAGAGGTATAAGAATAGAGAAGGGAAGGCGGCTCTAAAAGTGTCAGTCAGTGTCAGTAGTAGAAAGAGTAAGAATATGAGAGACGGCTAGCTTTTTTCTCTCTAATCGGGAACGCGCATTGGATGAATATTTACCAATCACACGACTGCGCAGCAATACTCACCAATTACACGACTGCGCAGCAATACCGACCAATCACACGACTGCGCAGCGTCACAAAAGAGAGAGATAGCTAGCCGTTTTTCATCTTCTTCCTCTTTCTACTACACGGACACTTCCACTAGTAGTAGAGTACATATCTCCCCTACTCTATTCTTATACCTCTATGATTATAACAGTACGTAAAGTGTATAGTGACTCATTAAAAAACCGGCTAAGTGCGTGTCGTATCACGCGCAGTGTAGGGCTTTGTAGTTGGTCGTTGTCACTACAATATATTTCGGAAAGAGACTATATTTTAAGCAATTACTTCATCTTAGTTACTTTTAATGTTTTCGTCTAAGTATTCTTTATTATATCAGAAATTTTCAAATACATCAGTTGAACGACTATTACTCTTTGTCTAACAAATATTTTTTAACTGTTGTAATTTTCCTTCAAAATTCATAAAAAGGACTATTATCATGGATTTTTCCAGGTTTTTCAAACCAATAGCTATTAGAGGGGCGGGGGCGGGGGGACGCCCTATATGAACAAAAATTAGAACAATATTTCGCAAACGGATCCGTAATCAAAAAATAGTCTTAGGAACCCTTAAGATATTTCAAAGGACCTATTCAACGATACTCCACACGATGGGGTAGACGATGAAAAAATAAAATCATCTCCAGGTCACATGTAGGGGAGCTACCCTAATCAAAATGTTCTTCTACCATTTTGTCGGCATGATTGCTATACATATCTCCACAAAATTACAGCTCTCTAGTGCTAAAAGTCTCCTAGCAAAACCGGGGACGGGCTAACAGACGGACATAACGAAAATATAAGGGTTCTTTGTCAGGACTACGGAACCCCGAAAAGGTGGAAATTGATAATTCTTAAAAATGAAGTCTGTCTACAAATCATCATCAGCCTATTAATGTCCCCACTGCTGGGGCACAGGCCTTCCCTATGGATGGAATCTCCCATTGGGCCATGACCCACCACGCGGGCCCAGTGCGGATTGGTGGGTGCTAACGACTGCATATGCAGCCGGGACCAACGGCTTAACGTGCCTTCCGAAGCACGGAGGAACTCGAGATAGTAAATTTTTGGTCACCCATCCAATGACCGACCACTGCGAAAGTTGCTTAACTTCAACGATCGCAGCGGAAAGCGCTATCCACCTGCGCCATCGAGCTCTCAGCTACAAATATGCCGCGGAAATATTTCACTAGCAAATGGTTAATCTATCAAGTGTATGTTTTCTGGTTTCTGCTGGTTCAATTTCTCCTATGATTTTATATGCATCACGGACATTCGTTGCTGTTGTGTTTCTATCAGTGACTAAGGTTCCACACCTAATGTTCACGTAATGCGACGAGACGAGGAACATGTGGTCAGAAAGGCTTTATTGCTTCCTGAACATAAAAGAGGCAGAGGCCGCCCTCCCGCCACCTGGCGGACCAGCATGACGAAGCTAATGACAGCTGAAAAATTACCCGAACCGGTAACTCTATACTGAGAGTCTTGGCGCCTTAAAATTAGGAGAGCTGACTCCATATAAAGTGGGAAGGAGCAAGGACGAAGAAGAAGAAGACCTCCATGGTGCAGGCATAAGATCTGAAGACTATGGCGGGCGTTTACCATCAGGTTGATAGCCACACTTTAAATATAAAGAAAGTTCAGAATTTTACTCACGTCTCCTCCCGGCATAGCAGTGGTCTCACTGAAATGCTGCGTCAGAACCATTTGCAGACTCCTCTTGTGTCTATTCCTCTGTACGTGTGAATCTACGAAAAAATATATTTCTTTTACTGAAAACATCAACATTTCAAAAAATGAAATGCAAAATAACTAACTGGTAAAATCAAGATAATGGAATGAAATGGCGTTTATTAAAGACATCACTATTGTATAAGTTAGTATAGTGCTAATAGTACCGGGAAAGGTATGAAAGATTCTAATATCTCGGGCCCGGCCGGGCAGCAAAAGATAGCGTGTATAATAATAATAAATATTTCCAACACTTACACCAATTAGCCTAGCTCCAAAGTAAGCACTGTAAGGCTTACTGTATGTACGTATACGTTCATGTACACAGCAATGCTACTCAAATATCCATATCAGAATTTAATCAGAAAAAAGTAAGGTCTGGCGGGCCTAGCATCTCATTCTATAAGTTGTCTTTGGTATCAGAAAAAAATATAAAACTACTGAAGATTACTAGAAAGAAATCAAAAATATAACTTGAAAAACAAAAATACCATTGTTTAAGCGATTCCACCATTGGTAAAGTAGATTATCCTTGGCGAGTATCGACCTGTGAACAAAATAAAACATTGTTAATAAAATTAAATACATCATGAATATTTGTAGAGATTTTTTAACGTGTAATATATATTTTTTTACGAAACCTAACATGAAGGATAGGACCGACACACATGATTTATGCTAAAATAAGGGGGTTAAAAAGGACCTTTAACCCCCTTTTATACTGTAAAAAAAAACGGTCAAGTGCGAGTCGGACTTTCACAGAGTCCCTCTCTAAAAGCTAAACTATTGGCTTAAAAAACTTTAGAATTATGGTAATATCGCTTTTCATGATCGTTCAAGGAAAATTTCAACGGTTAAGATAGATTTCTATATAAAATATTTTATAACAACTTAAAATAACATTTCTTCTTATAGCAGGGTGATATATTAAAGCTTAAGGTCTTACTGGACTATTTTTTATAAGAATTGTGTTCAAGCCTTTGCAAGTTCTCAAGCTGCATGTTTTAATTTTATTCTTCCGAAATTTGGCTTACTGGTAGAAGCTAGCCTTCGAACATAGGGCTCTTCCGTGACTGTTTTAGTAGGTAAGGTACCTACCTTTTAATAATAATTCGTATATGAGAAAAGAACCAGCCAAGTCAGACCTAAAGCTTCAATATATTATTCTAAGTCTTAAGTAGAAAGGTGTTTTTAAGTTGTTATGAATAAATTTCAGAGCTGAAATATTGAACTTGGTACCCAGTCAGATCTAACTTATTTCGTTTAAGTTAACAACCAAGGCAATATTTATATCATAATATTGAACTTCGCTCTGAGTTCACATTTATGTTCCTTAAGGTATCAGTTATTTTAATAGTAATAGTAGTTTAACTTTTTTTTAATAAATTACTTACCTAACAAAAATCATTGGAATAATTTTTATATATGACTTAGATGAAGTAACTGCTTGTTTGTAATGCGTAAAACCTAAAAAAATCTTTAAAAAAAGCTATCTATTTGAAATTCGGCTTCTGCATAGCGTTTTCAAAAAGAGTAAAGGAGCACTTGATACGTTGGCATAGTCCTTCTGAAATAGGTGTATAGTTATATTTTTTTAAGCATTTACCTGCTAGATGTTTAGATCAAAAAAAAAATACTAGAAAAATTGTGGGTTACCCACAATGCGAAGAGATGACACTGCCTTGCGGCCTTAGAATTTCTAGAGAAAATTCGACACGACCATCAGGGCCGCGGTAGCATACTCGTCAGTGCATTCGCCCGGATATCGAGTCCCGTCTGCTGCCAGGTCCGCGTTGAATTTTTTCTAGTAAAATTTTCTATAGGTATATAGTGGTAACGACAGGCAACTAAGGAACCCTACACTGCGCTTGGCACCACTACACGCACTTGGCCAGTTTTTTCTTATGAGGTACGCAACCCTAAAACACGACAATTCTGAATCCAAACAGACGGACTCACCGGCAAATACCATTTACCAATCTGGAGCCATTAAAGTAACAACTTATTTCAAACGTGAGCCGGAACAAAACAGCTTCCCGAATTATCGAACCCTTATTCAGTGATCCGGCAAGGCTCATTTCTACTGATTACACACAAGAGGCTCCGAAATCACTCGGCGAAAGGATTCTTCTACTAACGAACAGGTACATTCAACAAGACAAGATTCCAGTTTAATATTATATACGTCATCAGAATTGCCACGTGAGTAAATAAGGCTAGAAGCTTAGATTAAAACAAAAAGGGAAAATACGGTACGCCCATACTAGCATCAAATAAAATATGCTCCTAATCAACTACATAAACAACTCACACACGCACACTTCTATATATAACCATTCAATCGAGCGAGCGACACAGAACTGTATCCCTAGCACGAACCAATATCGAATTCGTATCGTTTGCGAGTCGGAAACGTCATTGTCAAATGTGTACTGGTTTTTAGTTCTCGTTACGTACTTTGTGCCGCTGCTGTTCAAGTTTCCATACAAAATTTGACATTGACATTTCCTCCCTCCCTCTACAAACGGCTGAGCTGTAATGTTGCCTTTTAGGTGACTATCTAAATAACATTCATGCTAATGTGATTTTTGAGTTTTTTTTATATTTTTATTTAGTTTTATCGTAAAATTTGTTATTTGATCGTGAGCAATTTTTTTCTTTTTAGAAGCATCAAGGCATTGTTTTATGTTTATAATACAGAGTATACGCAATATTGTTAATACCGAGTGCACATGCAGCGTGTTTGGATGTCAAATTGTGACTAATAAATTGTGTTTATGCACCACAATTTAAGTTGTACACATTTGGGCCACAAGAGCCATATCTTCCTTTTTTTATTTAATCTAAGAGTAGAAGAGACAAAGCTTCATGCAGTGAGTGTATGTCTGTCACCACTGGCGGCCTGTCACCGCCAATAGAAACGTTTCTATGCGTACGCGATAGCACAAAATAGATAATACAGAAGGTAATCAACACATACAAAGTGCGCTCAAGCAACGCACACGTAGACACCCCTCACAGACACTATATCTCCAACCCAGTTGGGACCACTGCGAGCGCAAGTTTTACCCACTTGAGACATGCGTTTGTAAACTTATTTGTGCAGATTTCTGCATTCATTTCTGCTCCATTTGGAGCAACAAAAAAAGTTCTTTAATCTGTTCAGTTGACAATTGAGCAAATTAAACATTAAAAGGTGAATTGACGTTTTTTTAAATTGGAGATAAAGAAAAACATTCAAATTGAAATATTTTGGTTTCTGCTTTTCTGTTTCACTCTTGACAATAAATCAAACAACTAGGTACGAGAGCCACTAACAGGGTAGCTTTTTGTGAGTTCTATCCGCTTGAGACATGCATTTGATAACTTTTTTGTGCAAAAATGGAGCAACAAAAAGAGTTCTTAAACCTGTTCAGTTGACAATTGAGCAAATTCAACATTAAACGGTTAATTGACGTTTTTTTAATTGGAAATATAACAAAAGTAATAATAATTGAAATATTTGGTTTCCGCTTTTTCTGTTTCATTCTCGACAGTAAATCAGCTTTTTGTGCAAAAGCTAACTTGTACGTCCCTCTGTACTATCTTCTTTGTGGCGATAGGCTGCCAGTGTTTATCACACACACGCAATTGTATGAAGCTTTGTCTCCGTGCCCTCTGTACTCATACTCCATACTGTACTCATACTCATACCCAAGTTACGTCTAACATTAAGAGAAAGTTGCTCAGCCGTCTGAATTCCTCTGGACACATCCGCGCTTCCAGCTTTATTAAGTCAGTTTTTTACACTTCTCACAAAAGAAGATTTTGTAATAAATATATAAAGTACTAGGTAGGTAATTAATAATCAAATCGATAAAGTTGACTATCACTTGGTTAACGATAATAATAATAAAGAAATCGCTATTTTATGAAACCATCATCATCATCCCCCAAATGTCCCCACTACTGAAGCACATGCCTTCCCTATGGATGGAATTTGGAAATTGGGCCATGACCCACTACAGGGGCCCAGTGCTCATTGGTAGATGCTAACGACTGTAGATGCAGCCGGGGCCAACGGCTTAACGCACCTCCCGAAGCACGGAAGAGTTCCAGACAGTACATTTTTGGCCACCCATCCAATGACCGATCACTGCGAAAGGTATTTCAACTACGAGTATCGTAGCCGAAAACTCTAACCACTTGCGTTATTGAGCTCCTCCAATTTGATGAAGAATTTAAATAAAATAACTATTTCTGGGTGCGATGTCATCTATTACTATCTATAGACTGTATAGCTACATTATAAAAATTAAAATTCTGCTGCTCTTGTATTTTCTAGTTTTTTTTATAGCATCCTCGTCCAATGAGTTCGAAACTCAAAGTAGTTTTTTCCCTACTGCTTTAAAAAGATTAAAAGCATAACGACTCTAGGGGCTAGCTGGGTCTAATCGATATCCAATAATTAAATTGGAGCATCAATTAATCTCGCACTCGCTACTCCATCTTCTGATATGGACCTACATCCGATTTATCGGAAAAGATTTTCAGCCACGAAAGATCCATTTGCAGAGTGGATTTCCATTAGTGCTAAGATAATACTTATGTAGGTAGGTAATAAAAAAGTTCTCAATTGTTTTTGCCATTATTTATTTTGTTATCCGACTTCCTACTAATATTATTAATGTGAAAGTTTGTTGTTTGTTACTCAATCACGCAAAACACACATTGATATACATAAAGTCAATGTGTGTGTGTGTGTGTATTCGCAATCCGACTCCACCATCACATAAAGTCGGATGGGAAATCATTTGTCGTTTAAAACTTGTAAAATGTCAAATAAATACGACATTGTGGGTTACCTACAATGCGAAGAGATAGCGCTGCCTTGCAGCTTACGAAACACTACAGAAAATTCGCCACGGCCATCAGGCCCGCGGTAGCATAATAGTCCGTGCATTCGCCCGGATAGCGAAGGGTGCGAATTCGAGTCCCGTTTGCTGCCTGGTCCGCGTGGAATTGTTTGTAATAAAATTATCTTTATGCCATAATTATAATAACATTTTCATACGTAAAATAATTTTAACTCATACTATGCTGTCTTCTTTTTTTCGATAGCTTGTGTTTTAAAACAACTAGAAGCCATCAAAAATGGCAATAATAAACAACTTTTTATGATTACTAAAGACGTCTAGTGTGGAGATTCAATATATATCTATAGGACATCATTTTTATAGCACATTCGACCTTTTTAAATATTTAATATTCAATGCGCCGACTAAACACTGCCCAAAGGGCTCGCAACACTTTTCAATAATATCACTATGAGTTCATGCTCACTTTTAATTTAATAGTATTTTGTGTAAATAAAACATTTTCATTGACATTGTGAGTTACCTACAATGCGAAGAGATGGCGCTGCCTTGCTTAAGAAAGACTAGAAAGAATTCGACACGGCCGGCAGGGCCGCGGTAGCATAAATGGTCAGTGCATTCGCCCGGATAGCGAAGGGTACGGGTTCGAGTCCTGACTGCTGCCTGGTCCGCGTGGATTTTTTTCTAGTAC